GGCCAAGGAACGGTTTTTCACATACGGCGCACACGAAATGCTTAAATTGAAGGCGATCAGGCGATCATAACAATGTCATCATGAATGTAACAGTAAAGAAGTTGAATTAGTGAAACATGATCAGATCTTGACATAACCGCACACAACTGAGACTGATCTGAACATTTGACTACCTCTAAAATGACCCTAAATAATATCTGAATAAGCAAACAGAATAAGTCTAATGGCACTACCTCAACATGCCAATTTTTGCCGAGGGCCGTGACGACACGTTCTTCGATGGGTCGATGGCATGCTCCACAGATGGGTATGCCCATCGTGTCATGACATCTCAGACAATACAGTTCACCGTTCACTTCACGTGCATCTATGGTCAGCTCATTACTGTAACATAAACGCCTATCATTATAACGCTTAACTCATCAATTTCGCAGTAATTTAGTACCAAAAATGAGTTTTAGTCGCCTGTTCCGTCGACAATTTGTAACATTTTGCTTCAATTAATGTCTTGCGACATTAATATCACACGGGATTGAGGGATCATTGATCATTGAGGGATCCGATCAGAATGAAATACTGTAATCAGCGACTGTATCAATGGTGTCAAAAATGATCACCAACCTGCATCGAGCACATTTGAAATGATACGGATGAAAGCTGTCACCCTGATATTTGATATGCCCACCTTCCTCGATGATCGCTTTGCATTTATGACAAACATAACGACCCGATCCAGCCTCCTTCTCGATTTCGTTGCATTCACGACACAGCGCCCTTTAACGACAAAATTTGACTTTCATTTGCAAATTGTTAATCACTGAGTTGTTTGTGAATTCTTTGACGTGACGACACATCAGAGAATTAATTAAGAGAATCAGTGCTTTCGAAGATTTTTGCAGTGAAAATCGTTGATGAGAATGAATGAGATGAAATGAATCTGGGCAACTGCATACCTTCCACCATTCCGGAGAAAACCAACATCGGCCAAACGCTTATTGCAAATTTCACATCGAAAACAATCTGGATGCCAGTTTGCGTTCATCGCCTTTATCACACGACCAACGATGAATTCACCTTAACAGATTTATGGGATTAAGTTCAGTATGGAACCATTCATTTCACTGTGTTTGAATTTGATAATGGCATTGAATTTCGACTGGAAACATATTCATTGCAAATTGAAAATGGTGATAATGCTATCGAAATTCATCGAAAGGTAGACTGAAGTGTAAGCATTTCAATGCAATGGATTCAGTGAATGCA